GCTCATCAGTATAGGGCTAGGATACCCTTCAGGCTCTGACTCCACAGCCTGAGTGTGACCACTCTATACAGCATATTAATGGGAGAGATCCCAGGAGGAGAGGCCCAGATGCACTTCTCAAGGAAGCTCCCTGTCTGGTCATCATGCCCCTCTAGCTTGCTGGGCATGAGCTGGAGGGAATCCTGGCAAGGGTGGAGCTTTTGGGAAGAGGCTTTTCTCCAGAGAAGGGCTGATCAATAGAAGCGGGAAGAGTGAGAGCATCACAGGGCAGCGTGGCCCACTCCTCCCCCCTCTCTGGCTCCTGCTTCCAACTGCAGTGAGCAAGCAAAATAGAGGCAGGTTGGAAGGTGCCTGGTGTTTCATTCCAAGTTGGGGGACTTGGGAGGGAAGGACATGGGTTGGCAGGGGTACCAGAGATGGTGACATGGTACAAGTGAAACACAGGGTGAAGGGGGTTAGTGTTGGGGGCTTTGGGGATAAGTCTGTGAAAAGATTAGGCTGACTCAGGGAGAGTGTCAGGCTCATCTTCTCTTACCCTCACCCCTCTTGGCATACCTCCCAACATTTTCACAATTAGGGTAGAGACAGCATAGATTCTGCAGTCATTAGCCCTGGCTACCTCTCCTATGGTACACTGGCTGTTCCTTTGCCCTAGAGTTGGACCCTGTCTGATCTCTCCAGGGTAATCCTCCATCTTTTCTTTTCCCAGGTCCTTGTTGTTCACTGTCTAACATCAGTTTCTGTTGTCGGTGAAGCTCTAATCCACCTTCCTGTGGTAGAGATGAAAACAAGTTGCATGTATATCCAGAGACTGAGTCTTGAAATTTGAAGTCTCCTTTCTGCCTACCTCTCCCTATAATCTCGTACCCAGATTCTTTTCCCTTAGATGGAATGAATGCAACTCCATGGTCATGTTTCCATTAATTTCCCTATTCCTTGGAGATAACTGTTAGAATTAGTTTTTTTTTTTTTTGTACCAAGAATTAAACTCAGGAGCACTCAACCACTGAGCCACATTGCCACCCGTTTTTGTAATTTAATTAGACATAGGGYCTCACTGAGTTGCTTAGGGCCTCACTAAGTTGCAGAGGCTGGCTTTGAACTTTCGAGCCTCCTGCCTTAGCCTCTGGTGCTGCTGGAATTACAGGTGTTTTCCACTGCATCCGGCTTAGAATTAGTTTTAATTAGCAAGCTCCAAACTGATTGACTGGGAAAGCACTAGGGCTGGAAGTTGCTGAGTTGTTAGGGGTTAGGTGAGGACTGAGAGAGGCCCTGGAGGAAGTGGAGAAGGCTTTGCATACTGGGAAATTTGGCTGGGCTTCAAGTGAGGGGGCTGTTGGTGGTGTGGCCAAGTTCCAAATGTTGGCTTGAAGCCAGGGCTCAAAGAAAAGGGGCCCTCAAGATGGTCTAAATGGCTCCCTGTGGGAAGTGACCTTCCAGTCCTCTACCCAAGATGCAAGAGTATTTCTTAGACCCTCAAAGACCAGAACGGTCAAGCCATTTCCCTATAGACTCCCCTCAATCACATTTATGTTCTTTCTCTCACAGCCACTCCCAGAGTTCAAGCTTTGGCTACAGCCAGCATTTAGAGGCAGGCAGGAGGATTCCAGTGCTGGAGAGGTGGGTGGGGTGAGAAAGTCTTCATGCTGTGTATTTTGAGGAGGGAAAGCCTGACCCTGGGACCTATGCTTCAAGTCTTTGTTGCCAAATGAGAAGGAGGGAGAAGTTAACTCTGGAGTGTGTGTTCTGGTTTGTTTGTAAGCTAGAGACAAACTGGAAAATTGTGGTCTGGGGAGCTGAAATATAGGGATCCCAGATGGAGGGGAACAAGGAAGTGGGGAGGGAATGGAGAAAGCCTTATTTTCCTCACTCAGACAAAGGCCAAAGTCTTTGCTGGGTCTGGACATTTCTCAATTTTTAAAGAATTTTGAAATTATTTTGAAATAATTTTAAACTCAGAGGAAGTTGCAAAAWATAGTGCATGAGGTTTCTTTATTCAGTTTCCTCCAATGGTGACATCATATATAACTGGTAGTGCAATATTAAAACCAGGAATTTGACATTGGTACAGAATTATTAAGTAGCACACAGCCTTATTCAATTTTCACCATTCACACATGCATTTATTTGTGTGTATGTGGCACTATGCAGTTTTTTTTCTTTTTTTTAGGAGAGAGAGAGAGAGAGAGAGAGAGAGAGAGAGAGAGAGAATATTTTTTTTAATATGTATTTTTTAGTTCTCGGCGGACACAACATCTTTCGTCTGTATGTGGTGCTGAGGATCGAACCCTGGTCACATGCATGCCAGGCGAGCGTGCTACTGCTTGAGCCACATCCCCAGCCCGCACTATGCAGTTTTATCGCATGTATAGAATCAGCTCAACCCCAAGTAGATGAATAGATTTCCCCTAAAGCAGCATTGAGACCAGAATGTTGGAGTGGAGCATAATATTGTATTGAGAATTGAATTAAATACCTCAGTGATAGAGCACCTGTCTATCATGGTGCACAAGATGTAAAACCCTGGGTTCAATCMCCAACCCTCCAAACCAATAAAAAACAACCCCCCAAAGTACTGATGCTGCATTATTCCTGCATAATTCCACTCATATAATATTTTCAAGTGACAAAACTGTATAGATGAAGAACATATTAGTAGTTTCCAGGTCACAAAGATGGAAGGATGGGTCCATTATAAAGGGATAGTAGGAGAACATAAGGGATCTCCTTTATGGAATTGAGTTCTGTATCTTGATTATGCTCCATTTCAACATTATGGTCTCAATTCTGCTTTAGGGAAAATCTACTTGTCTAAATTTACTAGTCTGGTCTAGTGTTCTTGTGAGTTACCAGCACTGCCTTGCCCCACTATTTATAGACAGGCTAATTTTGGGTGGCCAATCTCTGTTCTGCTTTTTCCTTCTGTGGCATGTGAGGTGACTTCTCAAATATTTGGGCAGRGGAGGTCAGATGCAGATTCTTGGCATTTGATTTCACCCTTAGATTTATCAGAAGCCAGGGAAGTGGAAATGGAGGCAGGCAGAAGCAGCAGGTGCAGGGAGGAAGGTGGATGGGACATTAAAGGTTTTATGGCCTGAGTTGGAGGTCTGGACTGGGAGTTAGACGTCCTGGGTTCTTTCCTGATTTTGCTATTCTGCATTCTCTTACCAGCTCCTCTCTACTGTCAGGGGCTCTGAGAAAACATATGGAGAGGGCATATCTGGGGAATAATGAAAGTAGAATACTGGTCAGCACATGTGTTTCCTTCATAGCACTTGTTTAGAGGTGAAACTACTTTCCTATAGAGGATGTCTACAGGTGAAGTATTACAAAAACAGGAGGTCAAATCATCAAACATATTTTAACTTACCTGGAGCAAGGATTGTTCCAGGGACAGCAGACTGAGAGCCCACCTGTTTTTTTTCCCTATAAAAAAGTATGATTCTGAACAAAGAAGCAAATGAGATAAAGGGAACATGGGAAGAAGTGGTAGGTAAGCTATGTATTAGAGCTTTGAGGAAAGGAAAGGAGAGAATCATAAGAATATGAGAGCTATTGAAGGGCAGAGATCTGAGAAAGATTCCAAATGTGACAGAGAGAAGGAGGGGCAAACATAGAATTTGTGATAGACAAAAAACAGAGAGAGAAGGGAAAGATGGACAGTTGAATATACATATGACCAATATCGAGTAAGAAAGGAGAGTGGGAAGGGAAAGTAGTAGCCTGCAAAGTTCCGGTTTTGCCAAATTATTTTCTATCTTTTCTCCTGGCTCCATTTCTGGATTGGAGTTATAAATAGCAGAGGGTTGGAAAATGTCCCCTCCCTTTGCTTCTGTCCCAGCCTTGGGGGGAAGGGAGAGAAAGAGAGACAGGCTGTTAGGTCCCTGTGGAGATCCCTCTTCTGCCCCACCCAGCTCCTGCCTGAGCCAGCCCAGGACTCTGGTCTTCCAGTCTCCTTCCCCTTTGATGCMTGGGAAGAGTACAGTCCTGGGAAGTCTGGTAACTGAGACACCCTTTCCATCCTTCAGTCTCTTGGATCTTGTCTCTTTCACCCCTGCCATTCTTTGACACCACCTATCTCCTCCTACCAGCTAATTTGCTCTTCATATATAACACTCAGGCTTTTCTTGCCCTCCCCTCCTTCATTCTAGTCTTTGTTGATGGAACTATTGCACTTCTTTCTCCTTCTCTATTTTTTTTCTTTCTCCATTTCTCTATTTGTTACCCTCCCTATACTTCCGGAGTTGTTCTCTGTGCTCTTTGCCTTGGCCTTTTTCTCTGTTCTTTGAATGCTGGTAATGTGCTGGGTGTGGTGGCGCAGGCCTGTAATCCCAACGACTCAGGAGGCTGAGGCAGGAGGATCACAAGTTGAAAGCCAGCCTCAGCATATCAGCGAGGCACTAAACAACTTAGCGAGAGCCTGTCTCAARATAAAAATAAAAAAGGTCTGGGGATGTGGCTCAGTGATTAAGCGCCTTTGGGTTCAATCCCCGGTACCAAAAGAAAAGAAAAGAAAAAAATGCTGACAGTGTGACTAGCATTGCCTCTACCATTGCCAGTCTCTGGGGCGTGGGAAGTGGTTTTCCAGCAGCCTGAGGGATGCTCTGTGCTATGGTGGGGAGGAGGGATGCTAAGGGACCATCCCCCCAGAATTTCTCCCCTTCCTCTCCTCTGCTTTTTTGTCTGTATAGCTYTCTTCCCAGGTTGTCTTTCGGTCTCATCCTACTTCTTTCTTACTCTCTCTTCTGATCCTCCTATTTGTACTTCTTTCCTCCCTCCCCATTTCTAGGCGCCATCTCCGTCTCTTTAGGATAGGGGTGCGGGAGAATGGGGAGGAGAAGGCAGCATTGGGGTGGGGCGGAGCTGGTGTTGGGCTGGGGGTACAGGGGGAACAAGGCCAATTCCTACTGAGGGTCTGGGCATCTTTTGAACACGTGCTGTAGTCTCCACCTGCCGCGGGAAAGAGGGGGCGGGGCCGAGGGCGGGACTTGGGCGGCACCCCAGGAGAGGCGGCGGGAGCCTAGTGGACTCCCAAGCTCCGGCCGCTGTAGTTGTTCTAGCCGATGCTGGTGTTGCGGAGGGGCGAGCGAGGGCGGGGTGTCCGGGTGAAAGATTGGAAGACCCCCTGAAAGACCAGCTAGACTTCGGAAACTGGAGACACGCCCGGGGGGAGACCTGTTTTTTCTTTGCACTGTTGTTTCACTGTTGGGGAGCACTCACGGGATTCGTCCCATGGCSGGGGCTCGGAGCTGCGATTCTTGGGGGCCCCCTGGGATTTGCTGTCTTCTTGGTTTCTTGTTCGCCGGACTGCTTTTTCCACGGGCTGTCGCCTTCAATCTGGATGTGATGGGCGCTCTGCGCAAGGAAGGAGAGCCAGGCAGCCTCTTCGGCTTCTCTGTGGCCCTGCATCGGCAGTTGCAGCCCCGACCCCAGAGCTGGTGAGTCACCGCCCCCGCCCAGAGTCCCCAGGCCCAAGCCACAGATCACTCCCCACCCCCGACTCACCAGTCACCTCTTCTTCTCTCTATCTTCAAACTCTACCAACTCCTATGCTGCCCAGAGACATCCCATATCCCAACCTGGAGACTTATCTCATGTGTCTTGGGTTTAGAGCCCACCCCCACCYAGGTCCTAGACCCAGAATTTTGCTTTGGGGATGAGTTGGAGAGCAAGGCTCTTGCCTTGGCAGGCAGGGAACCATCTCCTTCTGCCTTTTCCCTTAATTTGCATCTTTGTTCCAGCTCCAGGGTCTCTGGCTCCTCTCCTTTAGAGGGCTAAATTCCCCYAGGAAGGAAGACTGATCATTCTGTCTCTACCTAGGGCAGAAGGAAAGGGAAAGGACAGAGAGGATGAGGGTGTCATGGGAGGGATGGAAGGTGGAAGGTAAGACTCCAGAAATAACTTTCTGCCAGAGCATTGCTGTGGGATGGAGTGAGGGCTACAGGACACTGGGAGGCCAGGAGAGCACAGCTGCCACTTCTGAGGCTCAAGACAGCAGGAAGATTGAGAGACTGGAGGGCCTGGCAACTTGCATTGGTGGTTTGGTGATAGAGTGGCAGAAAACAGTCTCAAAGTAGTGGTAGTGGCAGTGGTGGCTGCAGCAGCAGCACCAGCACCAGCAGCACCAGCAGCAGTGAGAGAGATCCAGGAAGGATGCTGGCCAGGCTGCTCCCTCTCCTCCCCCTTAGGAAATTTCCAACTCCAAAAATTTCAGCAGAGGAGGAGTGAGGGGCAGAGGACAATTCTAGTTCTCTTCTCATCAGTTCAGGACCCCTGGGAGATGGACACAATTAGGTGGAGCTTGCAACTGGTCATGCTTCCTGTACTCTTGGCTCTTGCTAAAAAGAGAGACCAGAAGGGGAACAAAGCTTCCCACTCCCATCCTGCCAGGGGGGCTTCTCTCTCTTAAGCCAGTGCCTAAGACACATTARATGTCCATTACTGGGATCAATGCTGTCCACTGGGACTGCCCCATTCCCATTATTGCCCTGGGGGCAGAGGGCAGGGATAAGAGCTTATTTCTCTTTAGTCACAGAAAGTGGGGGCTAGCTCTAATCTTCSTTGTTCCATTATCACAGTCATGGGGGAGCAGGGTCAACAGCCCTTAAAACTTTAGGATGTAAAAAGGAACTGACTTCACCTTTTCTTCAGGCTGCCATCCCTTCCTCCCTCATCTCTGTCTCATTCCTCCCCCACCCCTCCTTCTCTTTCCCCCATCTGCCAGAGTTCCAGGACTGGAGGCCTTTTTAGGACATGCTGAACTCTCTGTGCTATTTCCAGGCAAATTCTAGGTTATTTTTAATGGCTTGGTCTCTTGTCATTTTCCCCTTCTCTTTGAATGTGGCTCCTGATTCTGTCTCCCAGAGCCAAGCTTGGGGGCATTTGCAGAGGGGTCTGACTGCCTAACCTTGTCCTTTTTTCCGGCAGGGGGCGCTCTGCTGCTTGGTGGCCCTAAGAGGCCAGGTACCTTACTCAGTCCCTAGCTTTTAGTTTCAAAGGCTATCCTTAATACAACAGACACGAGTATGGCAATATGTAAATCAATGGAAGTGTAACTGATGTGATTCTGCAATCTGTATATGGGGTAAAAATGGGAGTTCATA